GGAAAACGCAATATTAGAGCATTTAGCAAATTTTTAAATGCATATGGTATTACTGCCAAAAGATTGAGAAAAATAGGAAGTAAACATGCTTCTAAAGTTCATGGTAGTCAAAATCCAACGGCCCAACATCTAAGTTTACTTTGTAGAATTGCAATGAGGCATAAGATCGACCGTTTTGATTCTGGAACTTATTATGCTGAGGGTGACACTTCTTCTGATTCTGATACCAATCCTGATACTAATACTGAACCCGAACCTAAATCTCAGCCTAAGAATAACGATCTTTCGAAGGAAGTGCACAGAGAGCATTATAATCCTTTTGATACCCAACTTGCGGAAATAGATTCGATGTTAGCAGAAATGTGATGCAATCCAACTTGGAATCAAAAAGACCTATAAAGCTATTATATCAGGACTTACTGATATCGGCAAATTTTTTCTTGATTACTCATCATGGATTGCGGGTGATAGTAGATATAATGGAAATAGATAAATAATCATTAGTTATTTTTTTTTTCTGCTAGAGATATAGTTTATAATATATCAATAGTAATTTTGATTAATATGGTATGGTACTTAACAAGAGCCCAGAAGAACTTGATGATCTCCAGACATCGCTTATCTATTTAGAGCAAGACTTGGACGTGGATCTAGATAATGAAAATCTTAAAGTAAAATTTGTTAATGGCCTATCATTAGAGAATATAAAATACGTATATTTCCGAATTGGCAATAATAAACCTCTGAATGAAATAATCGAACGTTTAAAAAATATTGAATTACCTCATCCAGATAAAACTCCACGCCATTGCAGATTACGCAAAAAAGGATTTCTTAGATCCATTGAATTTTTTTACGCAATGTAATATGCAATGTCCAGATCCTTCATCAATGCAACAATGATTTCTACAACATCCATACTTATTTACTATATGTTTTATACAATAACCACCTCCCCATGGCTCATGAAACAATTTACCACATTCCTGACATTTATCAAAGTAATCTAGAAATTTACTATTATTAAGTTTTTTTACTAATTTTTTTATATAACGAAATTCGCTTGTTTTTTCGTAATCTCTGGGTATATCATCATCCGAATCAAGGTACTTCACTGAAAAATTAATTCCGGCATCTTTCATTGCTTTAAAATCAAAAATTTGATCCATATCGTATTTGTGAAAACTTGAGAATTCTATATAATAATAATAATAAAATTAATTGTGCAAATATCAAACCCTCATGAGGATTTATTCATATGTTTACTAATCGCGCTTCTTCACTTTTATTGCAGAGCAGGCCATTAGGCGATGAATTGGAAATTCGAGACTTTGTCTCTTCTTCGAATCATGGCTTTCGCCTACCACGTCTACAGTAAAATCTTCATCATCATTAGACGATTCAGACTCAGACCCAGATGAGGATGAGGACTCAGATGCGGTATCATTAGAAGATGTGGAACAGACCTGTCATTAGATGAGCTGGTTGCAAAATTAAGCGTGGTTGAGAATATCAAAAAAATAAATGATATATGCGTCTAAATTAATTATCTGAACATTAGTTATTTCTGATATATACTAATTAGCAATGCCTAATTTACTTAATCTTCTTCCACCAGAATTAATACCATTCATAACGAAGTATCTTCCGATCCAAGATCTTAAAAATTGCTGTAGTTTAAATGATATATGGAAAACCGAAGTGATTAGAGAAATTCGCAAAAGATTAATAGTGGATTGTACATTCGTTAATAGAAAAACAACTGTCAAAGCGCTAATTGACCCTAAATCCAAGTACGGTAGTATCAGTAAAGCACTTGCCCAAAAAATGGGTTTATATATTACTAGAATGTATGGATCTAAATACCCAGCAGTAGAAGACCTTGGTATTGGCGCAACAAATGCTGGCAAGAAAGTAATGAGGAGGGGTTGGGTTGATAGAGAAAAAGTTTCTGTCACTTTGCCAAATATTTTTGAATTGGGAAAATTAAAATCCTTACCTCGATATTTAAACGAAACATTTACTAATTTCGTAGTTATTGACAAACCTGAATATGACTTAGTTTTAGGAAGTTCATGGCTAACAGGTCGAGGAATTGATATTGATTTCTACGGATATAAAATATGCAGGAATGAGCTTTGGGAAAAAAAGGGAAAATGTTATTGGAGAGAAGATAGTATAGAAATATTACCTCGTTCATTACATATATTCTATGAAATGTTATTCCCCAAATTAATCAGAATAGATAGAGATGGAGATATAATTTTAACTTGTTTTTCTGATAAAAATATGAAGAATAGCCTGATTGATCTAAGTGAATATTACGATTCAGAATACTCTGAAACGGAGTCTGAATCTAGCGATTATTCAGATGATGAATTCTCCGATTCTGATCTACCTCCACTTGTTCCAGATCCATTAAGGGTATCTCGAAGCGTTATCTTTACCGGTGGACCTATCATTTACATTCTAAAATAATAGTATACAACTATTTAGTCGCATATAAAAATAATTTTCAATGTTATCATAATAAGTGTTTCTTATCTGAAAATGCGTCTGTATGTATTGTTGTACGATTAAGCTTTTTTTGACGTCATCCAGGAGATATTTTCTAGAATTTCCGGTGATATTAAATGTATTCATATTCATAATTTATGTACCTTGGCACTAGCTCTGCTATAATAAATATTGTATATTTTTTTTTCTTGCAAGATATAATTTCCGTTCAAGATGCCATCAAAAAAATCTGACAAAGATGATTCGGCGAAGTCTTCCAAGAAAAAAACAGTTCCATCCCGCTTAGCTAAAGAAGATATCACTGCCATAGTATTTGCCGAGCAACTCAAAGTCGGGATAAAAAAAGTTAATGCCCATTACCATATAGGTTCTACAACTATCAAAAAAATATGGGCATCATCCAATCCTTATGAACATGCCAACTCGATAGGGGAACCCAACTTGCCTGAATGGTATAATAAGAATGTTAAATTCAAGGAGTCTGAAACATCTCCCAATGCCTCTCAAGAAATAGCCTTACCTGAGGAAACGAAGCTTCTCGTTAAAGGACCCAATATAGTTAAGCAAGATACCAGTGAAAAACGAAAAAAGAAAGAGGCTGAAATGGAGCGGATTGCAAAACGGATAATTAGATCAGAATTAGGTAGGATAATCCAAGCTGAAGACTGAATAAATTCCAGGGTTCTTCTCCATATTACAAATAATAATGCTTTGTAGCAAAGTATAATAATTATTTATGATTTGATTTCTAGATTTCCGATATATACTACTTCGAAATGCCACAACTTAACATTTTTAATTTGCCGGAATTATTAGAATTGATTCTACATTTTTTAGCAATTGACAAATCCCTCTATACCGCTTTGTTTGTTAACCGCTTTTGGTATAGATGTAGTGCACCACTTATATGGCGGAATATTGAGTTAAAAGGTAATGATTTACAACATGGACATTATTTTCCAGATGACTATAATTATTGTAAAAAAGATCGAACACGATTGGAAAAGTTTTTAAATATAATATGTGGGGATAAAAAACCAATTTATCGGTCAAGCTTAACTCACCTCAAACTTACGCATTATCATTCACTTTCATATAAAAAAATCAAAGGTATCGTGAATTCATGTCCAAATATAATCCATTTAGATTTAGATTATACCGCAGGTTTTGGCTATAAAGCACTAATTATGGTAGCTAAATCATATCCGAATTTGAAATATCTTAATTTACGGGAGGCTGGATTAATAACCGATGAATCATTATGTGTAATTGTGAAGTTGTGCAATAAATTAGAGTATCTAAATATTTCTAATTGTGTGGAAATTACCCAAAAATCCTTGTTTGAAGTTGCAAGGTCGTGCCAGAATTTGGAAGAATTATACTTTGCCGAAGGAGATGGGATTACCGATAAATCTATAAGTTACATCATAAACCAATGCTCCAAATTACGACGTCTTGATATTGCATATAGTGGTGTTGAAATCGAAGATAGTAGTATGATGATACAAAAACGCCTCAATATAGAGTATCTCGATTTTGCTAATCTTATGGGTCCTCGAAATGATAATCTTATTTTAGCTATTATCAGATCTTCTCCGAATTTAAAACATTTTGATATAAGCGGTAATAATATAGGTGATGATGTTATTGAGGCGGTGGCACACACATGCCATAAATTGGAATATCTTGATCTTAGCAGATGTTATTTCATTACTAATTCATCAATTTGCAATGTTATTCGCTCTTGTCCTAAACTTCAGCATCTCGGTCTTGGTTCATGCAAAATTTCTAAAGCAACTATCAGAGAAATCGCCCGTTCATGTCCTAATTTAAAATACCTTGATTTGAAGGGTGTTAAAAATATTAGTAAAAAAGCTATAAAACAACTTAACCTAAATATTCATATCGATAATTTCGACGAAGAAGATGAACCCCCTCCACTTATAAGAGGATTGATTCAACATGACGATTTAAATCCTCCGGATCATTTTAATAATTATCTTAGACAGGTCGGTACGCCTATTCTTCCTCATTTTCACAATCGTGGGTTACAGATAATGGTGCTTCGTAGTAGAGACTAAGTAATTAATTCCGATTTGATTTTTTTCTCGGTCAAAGATATAGTGTATAATAATATAACCAAAATGTTGTTTGTAAATTGCGCAGTCGAAGAAAAACCTCCTATTGAAACATTAATTGATACAGGCGCTAACGCAGATTTAATTACCCAAAAATTTATTAACGAGTTGGGTTTAGTACATCATGTAAATAAAAGCAATAGCCTCGAATTACAAACTCCTGATGGATCATTTTCTATACTAGGAAAGGTTGAACTGCAAACTAGTTTTAATGTTGATGGGAAGCATAAAAGTACCGATCCCGTTGAATTCTTGGTTGTTGGACCAGATTGGCCTGGGCCTGATTTAATGTTAGGAAAACCATGGTTGCAAAAAAATGGCGCAACGATTGATATGTGTAATAACAAACTTTCTATACATGATAATTATGCAATCCCAATTTTCCAAAGCGGGTAATCGACATTCTACTAAAAATATCTATAATATATTTGTCCAATTACACTACGTAGAATACAATTATTATGTGATCACCAGATCTTCTCTTGTTTTTACGAGTAAATAAGTGGTATGTACTGTTGTTGTATAAAAACGATTAAGCTTATTTTTTGACATCGAATGAGGGCCTGTGCGTCGTATGAGATGTGCCAAAGTTTTCGATTTTACCTATCAGATAAATTCACAAACAATTAAGATCGGCAAAGGTAACGGATCGTCCATAGTAGATAAATTTTTAATGAACTGGCCGTGCAATTCGAAAAAACCAATGATTATTGATAACTTTAATAATGTGTACCCACAGCAGATTGATCATCCGCGCTGGAGAAACTCTGGAATGCATATAAAAACAGCTCAAATTCGAATTCGTATAATTTTTCTACTTCATAACTATAACATTCGAATAAATACAATAAAAATTTGTTAAATCAATCAAACCCACGTTAATAAATAAAACGTATTAAATCAATTAATCAAAAAACACGTTAATAAATAAATCAATAAAACGTAGTAAATCGATTAAAAACCACGTTAAAAAATCAAATCATATTAAACATCATTCTTACATTTATCGAATCAAAGGTTTGTTAAGACTCTTGTATCAGATTTAGAGGTGTAGTATTCTTGTAGCGCCATTGGACTAACTGATTTTTACCCATAGATGTCGCCAATCGAATTTTTCAAAGCTCTAGCAGAAATGCCATTAGAGAGTTATTTATTCATCATCCCTGTCTTGATACTTAGATAGTTTAACAGAATGAAGTATTTTTTTTTTTTGTTTGAAATCTAACGAAATTTACGTATTTAGCATCCTAAGTCGGAAGTTGATATAAATCTTTACGGTTCGCTCAGGCAAGCTCTCGAAAATATAAATTCTTCAGAACTTACATGGCGGGACCCTGAAGCGAGTATGGTTCTTAGCGATGATTCGGATATAGTAAAAAACTTGCAACCTAGACAGAAGAATGTTTTCTTGGAACCGCGAGAAAATATGAAATGTATTATTCCTGAATCGATCAAAGCAAAATGTAATGAATTTGTAAGTGGCTTTAATAATTCGAATACATTACACGATACTAGAAATATTTTTCACGACAAAAGTTGGAAAGAAAGTGAGAGTAAGTTGATGGAAATTACCGGGCGTATTCTTAGTACACTGTAAGTGTTATTTTCTATTCTTAAACGATCATTATTTTAAATATCATAATATTCCTAATATACTTTTTATTAGTGGCGAGATATGGAGTAACCCTGCATTCACGAGTAGCGTATCACGTAGTGAACAGAGTGAAGGAACATACATTTCGGACATTATAATGCCTTTGCTTCGATCGAGTTTGGGAGACCTTCTCAACGGTAGTATCTGTTTAAGTACAGCAGAACGCCAGAGCATAGCAAGCAAGGCTAGACGAAATGCGGGAGTGGTCAAAGAACGAATGGGGAAAAAACCCGACATCATGGGGTTGTTGAAACAAAATGGAAAAATTATAGAATTGATGTATACCGAGTCTTCACGCATTATTTGCAGTAAATCGAAGAAAGCAGATGATGAGGTGAAATTATGGAGAGAGACTTTGGATGGGGTGAGCTTCATAGACGCATTGTGTAGACCGGTTGGCAATCAATTCGGAGTTGTTGGAATTCAGATCGCCGGTACTACTATGCAATTAAATATCCTTGTGAAAGATCTGGGGGGTATATCAAGATATTTTCATCTCGATCACTCCGAAATTCCGTTATCACCACATATATTGCATACTAAATCTCTTATTCGTTTATTATTGACCTTGAGAAATATCGTGATTGTGAATAAGAGCTTACTAATGCATGCGTTAGATCAAGCCATTTCACATCCACCCCGGAATAATTATTCAAGCACAACCATTTCTTCACCGCCATATAATAAATATTAGGTAAAATAGAAAAAACATTATATTATACTTTTATTCATCTCTGTATTAATAAAGTCGACCTGGTAGTCGAGTTTTTTTTATTATATATTCAACGTAAGCACAAAGTGTCGAAAAAAAAGCTAATTATTTCACATATCAAGAATATCTGAATTGAGATTATTTACCTCTAAATATCTGCATACTTCTACATAATCAAATATCGCTTTCGTATCTTGCGTATTCCTATTTATGATTGTTATAAAATTTTCTTTCCAGTACTCGGATTCCAATAATACCCTGCCTCATCATCGTTATCAGAGTACGTTGCACTCCAATTATTTACCTCATCATTGTCAGAGAAATCTGAGTTAAACCCCTGATATATGGATGATGAATGGGCTAAGCCCAGAGTCTTTGACTCATCAGAAATTCGAAGCTCTACTTTCTCACTTACCTGAGTTTTTGGCAAATCGCCTAGACCTGAAGATTTAGAGATATGAGCAGAAGGGATAGGAGTTATGGTAGATTCACTTAACTCAACTTCCGGAAAATCATCTGGACCTGAAGAATTAGGGATATGAGTCAATGGAATAGAGGCAGTGGTTGGAACACACACCTCAGTTTCCGGTAAATCATCTGAAGAATTGTTAATAGAACTATCAGGTAAATCGGTATCAATATTTTTAGAGAAATGATTTATAATTGTTTGGATTTTGTCATTAGTTAATTCCGAAATAGAGTTCGCACTGTATATTTTAATATACTTAATTTTATCTATACCTATTTTTTCAAATAATTTATATATTTTTACAGCTTTCTGGGTTTTCCCCTGTAAGTATTTGCGTGAAATTTCTGGAAGTTGTAAACCTGTATCTTCAGATCTCTTTTTACGAATAATAGAAATGTGTTCTAGTATCTTATCATAGACTATACCTTTAGCTTTTTTCTCACCAATTTTGCCATTACTATTTTTTATAATTTCGCTAACCTGAATTAAGAATTCCTTTCCGTAATAACACCAGCGTAAAATTTCCTCCTGGTTAGCACGAATTGCACCACATTCGGCATCAATTGCTTTATCAAATAATTGAGCTAAAGTAAGGATTGTAGAATTTTGGCCTAGGCCCCCGGCTGAAATATTTTGATTCTCATTCTGATCGATAGACATTTGCATGTTAGAGGGTGTAGCCTGTGAGGTTGAGAGAGACTCCTGAGCTCGAATTTTTTTTTCCCGGTTTCTCTCTCTTATCTCATTACCAACATTTTTTCTATGTTCTGATTCCAGGAATTCGTCATACTCTTTCTCTTCTAACGATTTAGTCTCTGTGTGGATAGGTGATGCATAACATTGTGTTATTGACTTCTGATATATATCAGAGTTAGATTTATCGTTTATTTGTTCGGGTGTTTCGCAGTAAGTCAAAGTTTCTTTTTCAGAGTGGCCCTGTTTGATTTCCTTGATATCATCATCTAGTTTAGCAATAAGGCTAGTTTTGTCTTTATCATTCTGTTCTAGTTTTGCGAATCTGGCCTCATGCTCTTCCATGGCTCGTTTTAACCTTGCATTCTCAGCCAAGAGTACAGCATTCTCCTTTTTAAGTTCAGGAATCTCAGTATTCTCCTTTCTAAGGTTAGCAATCTCAGCTACGAGCTTAGAATTCAATTCTCTCAACGAGTCAATTTGGGATTGAGTGTTTACCATTGTTTTATGTAAAATACGGATATATTCAAAAGTTTGAGTTAATGCACGGAGTGCACTTCCTACGAAAGATAAAATTACATGAGTGCGTGAGAAAAATTTGAATATCCTGATCACTATACATAAATATGTCTTGTAAATCTCAAGGTAAATTTACCATGAATCCTACGCAGTATATGCAATTCAAAAATCTGGTGAAGTATATGCATGTAATCGACGAAAATTTTATAACAATCATAAATAGGAATACGCAAGATACGAAAGCGATATTTGATTATGTAGAATTATGCAGATATTTAGAGGTAAATAATCTCGATTCAAATATTCTCAGCATGTAGTGGAAAATTATTGGATATGTGTAATAATTAATTAGCTTATTTTTTGACCACCTGGGTCAGTTCATTAATATAGGAAAAAATAAAAAACTCAGTATGAGCGAAACTTTATTGCTTTGCAAATATAATCTATAATTAATGTTAAGGAAGAATCTGTTGGTCTATTGTTTCGGAAAAATTACCAATTGCATCTAGTGATCTGGAACTCATTCGGACATTTGTAAATTCTTTGTTGTGCCATAAATGGATAACATTAAGCCCCTTATCCTGAAGTTCATTGCAAGGCCAATATGGATCCGTTACAACAGCATCCTCGCGAGAAAAATGCACGATCCAAACTTCCAGAGGGCAAAGTTGCTCGGCATACTTAAATACCTGTTCAAAATGATTATCTAATTTTGGTTGGGATACTGTTGCCAATAACTCTAATATAGCCACAGGATTAGTGGCATCATGTTTCTTTATAGTGAGGTCGCAATAAAAATGATGGAAATCACCATCCGCACATATACTCTCTAGATGCCATTGTCCAGTTATTTCAAAACCATGTACCTTTACAAGCCAATTATGCAAGATTCGGTACATCTCTGCGTCATAGACGCTCTCCCTAGGAACTTTTGCACGTTTCTTAGAATCTATGCATAAATGATTCGAACTTTTGTAAGAGCGGAAAGATCCCTGTGCAATAGTATTCTTGTCAAAAGTTCGTACAACGGACTTCACCACCTCAAGAATATTTACTGAACCATTGGCTTGCATAGGTACATCTTCATTGGGGAAAAGGTGACTCATTTCTGGAACTACATATTGCTTTTTCTTTGGTAAAGGGCCTATTATATTTGTAGCACTTCGTTTTTCCCTTAATGTAGATGACGATGATAATGTAGACGATGACGATGATAATGGCGATGTCGATGATAATGGTGATGTCGATACCTTTTTATTCTTGTTAGCTTTGTTCCACAAGCTATTTACTTTATTAACATCGGTCTATATAAAAACAAAATCGAGTGAGAAATATTTCCCAGTAAGCATAATTAGACGAAAAATAAGATTAAGATAGCTGGATGCAGGAATATACCAACAGTTAAGTTTTTGTTGTATTATAAAGGAAGGTACATAACCAATTCCTTCTCCAGAATCAGTAGACCTTTATCAAAAACTTATATTGGTAGATCCCATGATGTCTACTAGAGCGAATCCAATAAACGCATCCAATTCAGAACTTGTAAGAGTAAGTATTACCCCACCCCCATTAGAACGAATCCAATAGGTACAAGAACCTGACTAAAAGTCCCATCTATCTAAATTTACCGCCCTTAATATGCATACCTTTTTGTTCTCTATAAGTTTTTCAGCAATTTCTCGGATGTCTTGTGATATATTTGAATCATTACTGATATTATGTAACGTGTTAAAAAATGCTAGATGGGCTTTATCCTTTTCAGCGTGTTCGTAATTATCGATGACCAAAGAAATATAATGCTGGAGTGACCACTTTTCGTAAGGGAAAAATTCGAAGTACTTTTCATATGGAATACTGTGACAGGTGGATGAGTTTTCTCGGATGTGGGAAGCAGAAGCAACGGACATGATATAATAATTATGTATTAGAAGTTGTATGTTGCGAAAAACAAAAAAAACAATTAGCATATATATTTTCGTTATACTGCCCTTTTTAAACCGTTTTTGTTCATCTCTTTGTATGTCTTCTTTTGGACCTATAGAATGGGTATAATAAAGTGGAAGAAAGAAGTATTTACGCCAAGGAATTCACACAAAGAATCGTGCATACATATTATGGTCGTGTGTACGACACATTAAATTTCTAAAAATAATTTTTGTTGCACAGCCCCAATTAAATGCGTACAACATATTAATTAAATTATCTGATCGATTATGAATTTCTTCTTTACGATTAGAAAAATATGAAAAAGGCGCTCAACTATTTTATACCTGCGTTTAAGAAATATCCATAGAATATGCAGATCATAGAGTCGTTGACTCATATATTTCTTGCATAGGAAGGCTACTCACATAGCATGGATTTCCCTCTGATTTCGCGAAGATATGGTCAGAGAATATATAGAAGGTAGGTATATTTAAAAAGAGTTGTGAAGAATCAGGGTCAGGGATTGAATGAGAGGCTTCTAACTCACGCATCTAAAAAATTTCGCAAAGATCAAAATATATATATGATAAAGCGTGAGTTTGAACTCACGGGCGCAGTAATGTGGCGCAGTAATGTGGATATAAATTCAAATATTATTTTATTAACAACACGTCAAGAATATGAGATTTATCCTTCCAAAACTTTGACTATAACGCAATCGATATCATCTGTACTTAATCTCGATATGGATGACGCTGTAAAAGTTCTGACTTGGTTTATTTTTTCTTTACCAACGGCATCAAAAAGTTTATAGATTTTTCGAGCTTTTTCGGTTCTTTTACGAAGAGCTTCCTTTGTAATTGTTATAGGGATTTGATCACGAAGTTCTCTGTTAAGTATAGCACCAGACGCACTTCCACTATTATTTTTTTTAAGTTCCGTGCGCCGTTTTTTTAAAGCTTCACCGAAATTAAAATAACTATTGATAACCTCTCTATTCGTAACTTCATTTCTAGATTCGGCACGGTCAATTTTGCTAAATAGATATAAAAAAATGGTTGCTTTTTCTGAGGGAGCATTCTCTTCTATAATTCCGGTAACTTGTGGAGAGTTTTCAGTAGATGATAATTCATTGATAAGTTTTTTCAGATTTGATGAATCTTCTCTATTAACTGTTTTCGGTTTTTTATTAGAGGGTTTATCCGCAGACGTAGGATCCCCAACACGCTTGGATGGTAAAGTACTTGCACTCGATGTTCCAGGTATGTCAGATTCCATGCTTTGCGATTGATTATTTTCAGATGGGTCTTCCACCATCGTATCTGGATATGATGGATCATTCCCCAAAAAAGGGTCTAATGCTGAATCACCTGATTTATCTATGCTCATACTTCTTCGAGATGGTTCTCGCATTTGCGGTGACTTTTCTATGCTTTCGATATCCGCACCACAATTTTTAACCGGACATTTGGTTATAGTTTCTCTGATGTTCTCAAGGCAAAGACGATGAAAAATATGTCCACAAGTTAATACGGTGAAAGATTTTTTAAATATATGCAAAAAAATTTCTTCATTGCATATTGAGCATGGTTCTAATTCGGGAATGTCAATATTACTTGCAATACTTTCAGGATGGCCGTTTTTGAGAATATTCAAAGCAAGAGTTCTAAGGCACGTAATATCCATACTGTTGATATTATGCAAATATTTCAATCAAATAATAAGTAGTGTTTTTATAGCCATTTTATAGTCGCGAAGTGATGCTAGTATTTCCGCAAGTCAAAAAATCAAAAAATTGGTAATTTCGGAACAATATTTATCATGAATGGGATTAATTTATTCTCTATGAGCGATCCGTTACCTTTGCCGATCTTAATTGTTTGTGAATTTATCTGATAGGTAAAATCGAAAACTTTGGCACATCTCATACGACGCACAGACCCTCATTCGATGTCAAAAAATAAGCTTAATCGTTTTTATACAACAACAATAGGTACCTCTTATTTATTCGTAAAAACGAGAAGATCTGGTGATCGCATAATATTACACGACATTAGATATTTTTTCTTGCCAAAGTGATCGGCGTTATAAATCACAACGCGCACGTGTTTTTTTACGATATATTGAATAAATCTATTTCCTATATAAAAGAACATGACATCGGAACTTGAATCATTGAAACAAGAGAATGCCAGACTTATGGCTAGAATTGCGGAATTGGAACATGTTGTGGGAGAGAGTACCAGACGCGAAGCTGAGAATGTTGAGCTTAAAGCCGAAGTAACGAAATTAAGGCATGATTTTGAGGAGCTCAAACAGCAAACCCAAGTCATTACTAATGTGCAAGACACGCCTTCTATTGGGAATATTCCTGAACAAAAAGTCTCACGAAGTGAGGATGTTACCGCATCTGATATAACTATTAGCAAAGCTAACCCGACTAATACGTCTGCCTCCGACATTTGCCAGAAGTCAAATACATCTATCTGCACAGAGACTAAATCGTTAGAAGATAAAAAGATCGATGCATTCCTGGAATCAGAACATAAAAGAAGTGTTAGTAATGAGATAAGAAAGAGAAATAGGGAAAAGAAGATTCAACATACCATTTCTTCCGGAATAAATTCTACAACTGAAATTTCCCAAGATACCATATCTACTATAAACGATGATCGAAAAATAATTCAATCGGAATCGGAATGGGCAAAGCCCAGAGTCGAAGACTCATCACAAACTTTTTCTTCCGAAATAACGAAACTAAATAAAATTCCCTATAACCAGAAAGTAGAGCAATATTTAAGGCATGAATTATCTGTTTGCGTCAAAAATGATAGCAGTGAAATTAATAGCGGAGCTAGTGCCAAGGCACATAATGTATTTGATATACAGATTCCCGAATTATCTTTAGAAACAATTATAAGAGGATCTGGAAAAATTACGACACAAAATATAGTTGATGTATTTAATGTTTCTACGAAGACTAGACAAAAAGAGATTTTATGCTGGTATTGTTACTATAAAGCAAATGAGGATCGAATCGAAGATATTAAGCGTATAAATAATATTGATGATCAAAAGGCAAGAACATTGGTATATAACGAAATAAAATTACTTCTTCCTGATATTACTGATATAAATTTGCGACAGAGAACCTTTAAAGCTAAAAAAATTTATACATTATTTATGGGAATTGGGATAGATAGAATTAGACAAGTAACTTGTAGTGCAAGCGCTATTTCAAGCTTAAAAGATGATCAGATTCAAAATATTATAAATTGTTTCCCTAAAAAGTCTACTAATATGGACGATACAGTTAAAAAGTAATAGGCATTGCGGAACCGAACTCGCACGTGATACAACTATCTAGTTCAAACGATATATCAAACACTAAGGTAAGTATATCTGATGAATCGATTCCCTTGGAATCATCTATCGATTCGAAAAGTTTGCCAGAAGCTAAGATAAGTACGTTGTCTAAAAACATTTCGAAAAAATTGCCAGAAGTGCTCATCAAAAATGAATCAGATATAGGCACTCTTATCGATATTTTAAAGAAAAAATACAAAATGACAGAAAAAACATTAGAACGATGGAGAGACGATATTAGTTTTGAATTGCGGGATAACACTGATTACTGGAAAAAAGATCGCGAAAGTATGATAGAAGCCGACTTCCTAGAATATAAACAAAAATTTGAGGCTACGGGCGTCCCTACTACACCATATAAAAATAAACTAAAAGAGCGTTCTTTAGCCCTTATTGCATATGGGTGATTTTAGATGCGGAAGCATGATTCTTCGGTAAAAAATAAAATGTTTGAATCAATGTACGTTTTTAATAATATGAAATACTAGCTTATTGCTTCACAAACACTTTATGACTATATACCTATTTTTTTAACCACAGCAATGCATACAGCATATAAATCCGGATAGTCTAGCTACGCATTTCTGCTAACATCGAATCTATTTCCGCGAGTTGGACTTCAAAAGGATCATAGTGCACTTTATTTGAAAGATCGTTATTCTTAGGCTGAGATTTAGGTTCGGGTTTAGAATCGGAATCGGAATCGGAATCGGAATCAGAAGAAGTGTCGCCCTCAGCATAATAAGTTCCAGAATCAAAACGGTCTATCTTATGTCTCATTGCAATTCTAGCAAGTAAATTAAGACGTTGGGATGTTGGATTTTGGCCACCATGAACTCTAGAAGCGTGCTTACCTCCTATTTTTCTCAATCTTTTGGCAATAATACCATATGGCTTTAAAAATTTGCTAAATGCTCTGGTATTACGTTTTCCATTAGATGGAAGTAAATATTTAAAATAAATACGTTCTCCTCTATAACCAGTTTCATACTCAAGATCCGTTAAATCTGCGAAAAGACTTTTTGCCTCACTGACTTCAGCCAATTTTTGACTTTGGCGCTGTTGTTGGAATGATTTATATAGACGTTTTTTTTCCTCGCTAGACAGACCCATTTTATTACTTGATCAGTTCGTATGAATAATGATACAAAAAGTTCAATTCAAAAAGTATACAAAATTGAAAGTTATTACCGCTATTAGTAATGGGATTTTATTCTTGACCGTATACTTACATGGATGGACGTGTTTGTAGAAAAGGCTCTAAAATTCTTTTTTGTATAGTGATATCTATGAATGAAGGGCGGGTAATTAATTTTGATTTGAAAAAATAATAGGTAATAAATATATCGCAATCTACTTATCGATATACGTATTATCATGAACACTGCTTCAAAAACCCGAAAGCCCCAAATTAATAATTTTACCTCAATTTTGGACCAGATCCTAAAAAAATATAACTTGTCCGCCGAATCTAATCCATCACAATTAAGTATCTATGCTAGTGAACTCGGTGCTATGTTACCAGATTGGAAAGCTCGTAAAAATGTGAAAGAAGCTCTTCGCCGACGTCAATTTAAAGAAGAACAGATCAAGGCTCTTGTACCGGATAAAAGGAATGAAAAACTTACTATTAGGGAAAGAGTTCAATATTGCGCTAAAAGTGGTGATCCGTATGATATTTACTTACATGCTTTAGATTTAGTCAAGACAAAAAATGATAGTGATGAAGAAATTGTTGCATCCAGCTC